CAATTTGAGTAAGGTATCTAGTTAGAGATGCAGTCTTTGACTAGATACTGGAGGGTGCGTGGTACTTGGAGGACAGTGGGTGAGCTAACTCCACATGTGGATTGGTGAAGCTAGCCAAGGCCGTGGTAGGCTCATACCCAAACCCTTCTGTCCTGACAGTAGTACTGGACCTCCGAGTCTAAGTGGCACACCTGAGAAATCAACTATTGTTGTCTATACCTGGTTCTCTTCGGAGTTCCTAAAGCTATTCTATACCTGACCTGATTGAGATAGGTCAAACGCTAGATTCGGTAGGGTTTATGCCACCTAGACTACTCAACCTCAGTTGTTGGAGATCTCCCAGTTGTATATGCGTGACGACGCATTAAATATTAAGTTGTATATTGTTGTTGTTGTTGTATTAAAGTTGCTTCTAAGTTGTATGAATGAGTTGGGTTTTTATGTTGAATTGTATGATCGTTTGTGATGATGATTGTTATGCATTTATTGCATGATTGTTAATATGATGAAGTGTGTGATGTCTTGCTTCATGATTGATTTTGAACTCTAACTTACCCTTTTGTTTCCATGTGGATGGACTGCGATGATCATACCTTGTATGGGAGCAGATCAGGGCCAGCTTGGAGTTGAGGTGACCGCTGCGAGACGGGGAGTTTTGATCCTTGTGTTAGAGTTGCCACCTTGGGTAGCAGTTTTGTGCTTGACCGGCACTAGGAGATAGTAGTTTTGGATAACTGTATAAATACCTAATACTTAAAAACTTAATGATTTATATATATATATTTATGTTTTTGTATTTATAAGTTATCCAATTTTATTATTTATCTTAGTTCACTATTTTTAGTGTGATTCCACTAAGTGTAGGAACCACAGCGGGTCGTTACACTGACTTGCATAATGCCCAAAGCCATGAAGTTGTGCCTAACACGAAGATAATTTTTGCACTTGGAAAAATCGTTATTTGGCTCAATCACCTCCATTTTTCCAACCAATCCAACATGAAACTCACAAGGCAACATCTATACATTATAAGGAGCTCCAATCAATAAATCTACCACAGGCAGCCATCAAGAATGCAACATCATCATTTTTCTCCATATTTCACCAAGAACAACAAAAACTAAATCAAAAAGATTTTCACCTCTCCAATCTGCAACATGTTCTCAATTTGATGAATTCAAGCAACAATTCAACATATACAACACCTCAATAATCAATCTACAAACTTTTCTTACCTCGATTGTTTTTAAAAATAAAGAAGAAGGGAAGAAAGTCTGAGAACTCTGAACTCTTGTATGGTGCATTCTCCTTTTAATCCTCAACTTCTCAGCTTTGAATCACAACTTAAGTCCTACAATTTGAGCTCTAGGAAAGAATTAGATTGGTCTTGTGGCGTCAGAAGGAAGAAAGGTTCCCTTAGGCTCCACAACTTATCTTTCTAACATCTCTCTAGATTTATTAAGAAAATGAATTTATGAAGTTCAAGTCTTAAGAAAATCTTATATACCTTCCCTATACTTAGCCAATAATGACCTCAACTCATAATGACTCTTAAACAACTAAACTCATATGAATTCCCAAATCTTTAAAGTTTTAAAACATTAAAATAACAAATCATATAAATAATTTACTTAATAAAATTAAATAAGCAATCGTACAATTCAACGTGTTACAATTTCGAGCCTAATTTTTTTTTTCTTCTTTTCCTTAAAATCCTCTCCTTTTCCCTTATATATCTCACTTCACTCATTTTTTGTTTGTTGCAAGTTCTCAAAGGTAATAATAGTGATTACAAAAATTGTAGATTATTCTTTAACTCTTCTTATGATCAACATTACTGCTACCTTAGACAATATCTCTACCAAATGAATGAGGTTGAAGAAGATGAGCATGATGCATTTCTTAGAAATGGATTGCAATGATCTAATCTAATTAGCCTAATAAATTGGACTAGTTGGATTGCAAAATATTAGGTCTGAGGTCATTTTGACCTAGTCCAACCTAGTCCAAATTTTTTTCTAGTTTGAAGTGAGCTAATTTTTTTTATAAGCTAAATTTATTTTATAATATTACATTTTTAATAATTATTAACGTATAAAAAACATTATGTACTTTTGTGAATTATTTTAAAAATAATAAATAATAAAACATTACTAATAGTGAATGCTTATTTAAAATGCAACAATTATATATTTAAATTTAAAGAAATTTTTTTTGTAAAAGAGTAATTACACACATGTACACACAACTTGTTTAATTAATATAATCTAATGTATATATAATTAATATAATCTAATGTGTATCAAGTATTTCAAAAGCAAAAATTTATGTTATTAGTGTAAAATATTTATTATTAATAAAGATGTATCAAGTATTTTAAAAGTAAATTTTTTTAATATTTTTCAAATCGTTACGTTAATAGCACGAAATATTTATTATAATTGTTTAAGACATATCAAGTATTTCAAAAGTAAAAATTTAATATTGTATTATTAACACAAAATATTTATTGCTTTTATTTAAGACTCACACAGTTAAACCTGCATTTAAAATTTGAACTTGTCTAATTAATATAATCTAATGTGTATCAAGTATTTCAAAAGTAAAAAATTAATATTTTTTGAAATAACGGGAAGTTTTTATTATCTTGTTTAAGAGATTAAAATTCAGTTATACTTATATAAATGATACAGTGATAAGTTATTGTTTGATTATTTTACAATTTCGTTATTTCCTTTTTCTTATTTTATATTTTGAAAATAACCAAAATGTTATTAAAATATAATAATTTTATTTATATATAGTAACAGATGTCTAATTTTCTTAGATATTAAGTTTAAGTATTATATATAATAATTAATTGGAAAACGGGAAAAGTTAGTCCTATTATGTAATAATTGTTCATAATTTAAACACAAATTTTATTGATAGAAGATACATGTGATTTTAGATAAAAAAAAATAAAAACAAGTGTATTAAGTAAGAGATGAGATTTTAAGAGGAGTTAATTTTATCTATACTATTATATATATTGACCTATAATAATATATTTAAATAAAACAATTTTAATATTTAATGTATTTTTTGGGTGCATATAATAATTTATGTACGTTTATACGAATAAGTAGAATTAATTTATATTTTCATTTGATAAATATATGTTATATTTGTTTTAGGTAATCATATTACTAATATAAATATTTATCAACTTTGATGACAATTAATCTTTGTAAAAGAATTTACCTAGTTATCATTAACATAATTTTCTCTCCCAATTATATTTTTTTTCTTCCAGATTTGAAATTGAAAATTTATTTAAGGAGACCAAATTTAATATTATTCAGATTAGTAACTTATCGATATATCTTCTATATATACATAAAAATAAGCTGAATTAATTAAATAATTGATTATTATTTATTTAAAAGCTAAATATTTAAAATTTTGTGTGAAATTTACGAAAATGATTTTTAGAGGATTTTATTCAACAACGTGCCTAATATATATAAAATGTGGTTTATTAGCATAAGTCCCACGTTCAGATTTTTTTTTAATATAATAACAACAATAATAAGAACATTAAACCCCATAAAGTATTCTAATAGTGGATACACACATGCATGCCAGCATAAGTAGGTAATCTTTGCAAGTACAATTTCAGTTCATATTAATGTTGTGAGAAGAGAAATTCTATAAGTACATTCTGATACAACTTTTTGAACACATAATTTTTAGGATCAAAATTTATTAAAAATTATAAAACTTTGTAAGTGTTGCACTCTATTAATTTTATCCGATAAAAAATATATTAAAAATGTGTTTGTAAAAAAAAAAAAAAAAATTGTCTTGAGGGTAGCACGTTGATTATTAGTTGAAGTTGGAAAAAAAATAAGAATGATGAAATGTAATGTTGAGAGTGATGGACAGCTATGATGAAAATAAATCAGGCAAATAATTTGGTATCATGTGCATTCATCACTCCAAAACCTAAGCCAAAACTATCCATCCTATTTCTCCGAGAGTTGCGGGCCTAAGAGTTTGAGAGAGAATGAGAATGCAAATTATTATTAACAACAACAATAATAATAATAATAATAATAATAATAATAATAATAATAATAATAATAATGTGTTATTCTAATATATGAAATTGTTTGTTTAAGTTGACTAAAGTGATTTTAATACTGTTGTGCTTTTATTACAAGACTCTTTTAATTCATTTACGATCATTAAAATAAATTAATTATTGACATTAAATTTATTAATAAAATAAGATAATTTTCAAAATTTTCATTAATACATATATTTTTTAAATTATTCACTTTTCACTTTTTATTTAATTATTTTTTTTACCTAATTAGCTAATGGTTAAAATATCCGTTTACTCATTTTTCTAATCCTAAGAAGAGGAAAAAAAATTAATTTTTTTGTGTAAATTTTCAGTATGTATAATTTTTCGTCTAATTTTTTTAATTAATTAAAGACATTTTAGAAAAAATTATCCATGCAAGAGATAATTAGAAAAAAAAAGCGTTATAAGAATAGACACATGCAAAAGTACAAAATTGTCTCATATATAAGTATTTTTTTTTTTAAAACTATTGACTATAGTATTTTAAATATTTTTTTTTAAAGAAAAAACATAATATTGAAAGTATTATTGTCCACTAAAATACAATTTTAAGGGAAAAAATTAAACAAACAAATTCAAAATATCAAGGCTTTAATAATTTTGCAATGTTAGTCTTAATCTTTTTAATAATGTGAACTAATTAAAAATACTATAGACAAGACTTTTAAGTTTTAAGTTTTAAGATAATTATAGTAAAAAAAGTAACTTACGAAATCCACGTCATTTATTTTGTCAAGTATTACCTTGTCCAAGTTTTGGAGCTGAATCGAGATTGAATGTGTTTAAAATTAATAGATATTAATATTAGAGAGAAATAGCAAAGGCAGAGAGAAAAAAGTGGGAAATCCATATATTTAGAATAAAAAAAAAATCAGAAAAAATAGAGAGAGAGAGAGAGAGGCAGAGAGAAAAAGAGAGAGAGGGTGGGCGTTTGAAGATTGAAGGGCCACCTCCGTCTCCACCTCAACGCAACTCCTCCATCGCTCTCACCTTCCCTATTTTGTGCTTCCCCCATTTCCCTCGAAATTAACAAACCCACCAAGGAAGGGGGAAATAGGAAAATCCCCAATCAACACATTTCCTTCCTTTCTCCCCTTAATGCCTCCACCTTAGGATTCTTTTTTTCTTTTTTCTTTTTTCTTTTTTTATTAATTCATTTTTCAGAAAATGCAACACAACATCTTCGCCACAATGCGCAGTATGAACATCATCGACGGTTGCAAGGGTACTCAGGTCTACGCCATCAACCCCTCCGCCACCACCACCACCGGCTCCGGCATCGGGGAGAAGCTCCTCCAACAACTCCACGAACACATGAGAGCCCAGGCCCTCCGGACCAAATCCAACCGGACCTTCCTTCCTCCCACGTTCACGCCGCCCCCCGAGGTTGTCCTCTCCGACGCCGGCTCCCTCCTCCCCTACGGCCTCCCCATCACCGACCTCCTCGAGCCCAAAATTGATCTCTCCCTCATGTCGGTTGACTTCGTCGGAACCCTCGCCGCCGTCCACCGCCGCATCGAGGACCGCCCGCAATTCGACCGCTCCGATGCTTTCCTCGAGCAATGCGCCGTCTTCCGCGGCCTTTCCGACCCCAAGCTCTTCCGCCGCAGCCTCCGCTCCGCCCGCCAGCACGCCGTCGACGTGCACGCCAAGGTCGTGCTCGCCGCCTGGCTGCGCTACGAGCGCCGCGAGGACGAGCTCATCGGCTCGTCCTCGATGGACTGCAGCGGGCGCAACCTTGAATGCCCCCGCGCTACACTGGCTCCAGGTTATGAGCCGGAGTCAGTGTATGATCCCTGCGCGTGCACGCATGCACGCGCAGGGGATGATTATGAGATGACAATAGAGAATGATGAGCAATGCTCCACCTCGTCTGAGGATGAGGTGGAAGAGGAGGATGGTGGTGACATGTCGTTTTGTATTGGTGATGATGAGATTAGGTGTAATAGGTTCAATATGGCCTCACTTTCGAGGCCTTTTAAGACAATGTTGTATGGTGGATTCATAGAATCCCGGAGGGAGAAGATAAATTTTTCGCAGAATTGTTTTTCTGTTGAGGCAGTCAGGGCTGCTGAGGTGTTTAGTAGGAGTAAGAGTTTGAGGCATTTGGAGCCCAAGGTTGTTTTGGAGTTGCTGTCTTTGGCGAACCGGTTTTGTTGCGAGGAGATGAAGCAGGCTTGTGATGCGTATTTGGCGTCGCTGGTTTGTGACATGGAGGATGCCTTGATGCTTGTTGAGTATGGACTAGAGGAGACCGCGTACCTGCTGGTGGCTGCTTGCTTGCAGTTGTTTCTCCGGGAGCTCCCCGGTTCAATGCAGTGTACGAGTGTTGTCAAGATGTTTTGTAGTCCTGAGGGTAGGGATAGGCTGGCTCAGGTGGGCCACGCGTCGTTTGTGTTGTATTATTTTTTGAGTCAGATTGCGATGGAGGAAGAGATGAGGTCGAACACAACCGTGATGCTGCTGGAGAGGCTGGTGGAGTGTGCAAAGGATGGTTGGGAGAAGCAAGTTGCATTTCACCAATTGGGTGTTGTTATGCTTGAGAGAAAAGAATACAAAGATGCGCAACATTGGTTTGAGGCAGCGGTGGAGGCAGGGCATGTTTATTCTTTAGTGGGAGTTGCAAGGGCCAAATATAAGCGTGGTCACACATATTCGGCATATAAGTTGATGAATTCACTTATTTCTGATCATAAACCAGTTGGCTGGATGTATCAGGAAAGGGCTTTGTATTGTGTTGGGAAGGAGAAAATGATGGATTTGATGTCTGCAACTGAGTTAGATCCAACTCTTTCCTTTCCTTATAAATTCCGGGCTGTTTCTTACCTGCAGGAGAACAACATTGAACCTGCCATTGCAGAAATCAATAAGATAATCGGTTTCAAGGTTTCTCCTGATTGCCTTGAATTGAGAGCTTGGTTCTTGATTGCCATGGAGGATTACGAAGGAGCCCTCAGGGATGTCCGGGCTATTTTGACGTTGGATCCAAATTATATGATGTTCTATGGGCATATGCATGGTGATCACTTGGTAGAACTTCTTCGTCCTGTTGTTCAACAGTGGAGTCAGGCTGATTGCTGGATGCAGTTGTATGACCGATGGTCCTCTGTTGATGATATTGGTTCTTTAGCTGTTGTACACCAGATGTTAACAAATGACCCAGGGAAAAGTCTTTTACGCTTTCGGCAATCTCTCCTTTTGCTACGGTGAGTGCAATCCCTACATTAATTCAGTTATACCTTCTTACATTAGTGAGTTCTGATGTTGATTATAGTTTTCCTTCATACTTTTCCCCATGCAAGAATGCTCTGAAAGAATTGTCTATTGTGGGTGGTTTTTTACTTTCACTATTATCAGTGAGAAGAATAATATTGAAACCTGGCAAAAAATGTTTTGTTGATTTTTATTTTTAACTAGCTGTTTATCTGCATGGAATTCATGTCTCTATTTGCTGCTAAACAAACCAGTTTACTGTGACACTGTATTATGTCAAAATTAGAGAAAATTGTCATATGTTCTATCAATCTAAGCAAACTATGGCAAAAAATGAAACAGTAAAACATTTATATTGTATACCGGGCCTACTGGCCAGGATCAAAATTGAAGTATTTATCATGTAATATCCCAAAAGCTACCTACATTTTATGTATAGTTATGTAAGTTTTTGTCCTGGATGTGACTTTCAATTGTTATTGTATCTTCACTGCCTTCAGAATGAATGCAACCTGATAAGTACTTTGAAAAACTGGTTGGGTGTGTTTTATTACTAATTCTATCTTGTTTAGTTATGTACTTTTCTTTTGTTGTTTTTTAGTAAGTGTTGTTACCAGATTGTTATCAACTTAGGATAGCTAATTTGTCTCAGTTCTGGTTCATTTCAATGCTGGAGCTTGATTATTATGGGTGTTGATTTTCCTGAATCTTGCAGGTTGAATTGTCCAAAGGCTGCCATGCGTAGTTTGCGGCTGGCTAGAAATCATTCATCTTCTGACCATGAAAGGCTTGTCTATGAAGGATGGATATTGTATGACACTGGTCATCGTGAAGAAGCATTAGCGAAGGCTGAGGAATCTATATCTATTCAAAGATCATTTGAAGCTTACTTTCTCAAAGCTTATGCATTAGCTGACTCAAATCTTGATTCAGAGTCTTCGAAGTATGTGATTCATCTCTTGGAGGAAGCACTTAGATGCCCTTCAGATGGTCTTCGGAAAGGACAAGTGAGTGTTATGTTTTGGATTAAACATGTTATGTTGATATCAGTGCTGAAGTTGTATGTTTATATTTATTATTCTTTTAAATTATAGGCACTAAATAATCTAGGGAGTGTCTATGTTGACTGTGACAAACTGGACCTTGCTGCTGACTGCTACATGAATGCACTCAACATCAAGCATACACGAGCACATCAGGGGTTGGCACGTGTATATCATCTTAAAAACCACCGCAAAGCAGCATATGATGAGATGACAAAGCTAATAGAAAAGGCCCGGAGTAATGCATCAGCATATGAGAAGCGTTCAGAATATTGTGACCGTGACATGGCAAAGAGTGATCTTAGTATGGCATCCCAATTGGATCCTCTAAGGACTTATCCTTATAGATATAGGGCAGCAGGTGAGTCTCATATAAGTGGTTCTATTATCCTCTGTTTTCTCTTGATTATTCGTGATGGTAAGGGAGGGGAACTGTAGTTGTGATTATAATTTGCAAGCCATTTGTGTTTCAAATATTTTTGGATGCATTTTTTATAGCTATAGATGGTTTTATCACCATCTTGGATAGAGGTACAATCTTCGAAGATGTTTTTGTCCTGAAATTTTCCTATATGCTGGTTTTTAGCTTAACTTCAAAGACTGATATTTTGGTTTTCCATGAAAAGAATAATAGTTGATAACTTTCCTTCAATTTACTATGTAACATAGCTGCGGGAAAAATCAATGCTTCTATGTTTCTGCTTTCTTCATTTGCCTATTTATATACCCCAGCTAATGTTCATCATGACAACCCATATCATTTAAATAAATACTCCTTGTCTGAATTTGTGGCATTAATCATGCAGTTACCCAGAAACATCCTATTACAAAAGGTATTGCTGGAAATAATGAATTGTGGATCTTGCACATTTATGCAGTAGAAATTGATCATTGTTGCTTTAAATGTTGAAAGAATATCAGGGCTGTTCATAGGTTTTCTGTTGATAACAAGCCTATCAAATCATACATTATTATCGGGTACATGTTTGTTTGGGTTTGTTTTATCTTTATCAAGAAGAGTGATCAGTTATGATGTGAGATCTCGAGTTTGTACTTATCCTTGTAGCTTTGTAAGCTTGTGTTCTGATTTGTGGTCTTGGTTCATGCTGAAATACTTTTGTTTGCTGTAAGCATCTTGATAGAGAAATATGAACTCTATATTTGAACCTATGAAACCTGTTGCTGCAATGTGTCTGCATTCACAAAGCTTATCAACTTCTGACTCTGCCTATCAGTTTTAATGGATGATCATAAGGAAGCTGAGGCAATAGCAGAGCTTTCAAGAGCCATTGATTTTAAGCCAGATCTACAACTATTGCATCTTCGAGCGGCATTTTATGATTCAATGGGAGATTTTGTTTCGGCAATCCGGGACTGTGAAGCAGCTCTTTGTCTTGATCCTAGTCATATTGAGATTCTTGATCTTTGTAGTAAAGCACGGGAGCAAATAAGAGAATAGTGACAATCAGATATTTAAAAAAAAAAATCATGTTTTCCTAGTGTTCCCGATGGGGACAAGCCTATTTTTGCCAACCTGTACTTTTTTTACACATGAAGGTCCAGTAATCATCAATGTCATTTATCTGTTAGATTTTGTCTCCAGAAACGGCATGGTCTATATCTTTCAGCTGGCCGTGTGGAGAGTGCAACTACACAAGGGAAAAGGAAGATTAGAAAGGTCAAATCACTTGGATTGAAACCAAAGAGGAAGTAGAGGGAGCAGGATAGCTTGTAAATATATGTAATGACTTGTGTTTTTGTCTGAGTATGGTCAAGTAGTACAGAAAACTGCTGCTGCTATGCTCGAGTATGCCACACCAGCAAATTGGTGATGAGTTACTAGTTAGACAAAACATGTACATGAAAACCAATTTGTTATAACATTATATTTTTGGCCGAGCAATTGCCAATTCACATTGTGTTATAACATTTTCCACTTTTCTCTGTTGTATAAACACAATTTTCCATGACGACCCTTTTAAAGTATATTCATGATGAGTTTTTTTTGGAGAGAAGCTATATCCATAACTAGTTATACAACTTTCGAAGATTACATCTGCTTAATTCATCTTTATGTGTTTTCCCTTAAATTTATTTTTCATTATTACTGGTGTGCGGATATTTTATATTGTTTTAAAACTTAACATCACCTATTAAAATGTTATTGACCATGTAAAACGCATGTGTATTGAGAGGAAGATGCATAGGTATTACTTGATCTTTCAACATTAGTCCTTTTTTCCTTTTGTAGTGCATCTACAGCCCTCTTCTAATACCTAATTGAATGTGGGGCTGTGCATGAAACGTTACAATGCCCTGCATTTTCCTGTGAGTTCTGGCTCCTTGATTCTCTGAAGTCTTCCCACGTGGAAGGAGAGCTTTTCAACGCACTTGTGACTCAAAATAAAGCAAGCCCTTTTGTTTTAATGGTTTTCACGAGATACCCATATTTCCAACTGCTGTTATTTATTCTACCCAACCAGCAAAATGTGATATATCTCTATTACCAACTTTTTGAACCTTCTGTCACAAAATTATCTCACTCGATCTAGTTATTGAAGCTTCTCCCTATACAAGGGAGCAGAAGAAGAATAAGGTGGAGGAGGTTTTGGAGACCATGGATTTGAAACGTCCTAGAAAGTTAAACTTGAATGCACCCCTTTTGTCAACAAGGCGTCTTGGTAGTCCAGTTGTTGGAGATACATCTTGCTCATCAAATTCAGTAGGTGCAATCCAAAATACAAGTGAAAGGGTTCCATTTTCATGGGAGAAAGCTCCAGGCAAGCCAAAAGAAACTGATAGGAGAGATAACACCACCCAAGACAGCAGCACGCCTCGCCTACGACTACCTCCCCACCGCTGGATTCCTCCAAAAGAAGCAGCCGAATCCGAAGCTGATGATGATGATATTGCATTTCATGATCAACAAGATGGTAGTTGTGATGGCAATGTCAACAAGGATGATTCTTTCTCGGATGCTATGGATGTTTTCTCTCTAACAGAGGCATTAGATATTGTCCAAAAGAAATCAGAGGATGCTCATAGTGAAAACAATGACAGGTTGAGGTTAAAGCTTGCAGAGTCTAATGGATACCAATCTCCCACTTACATGATCAATCGCTTCCTTCCTGATGCCACTGCTTTGGCTGCATCATCTGCTCTTCATTTTTCTAGTAACTTAGAAGACAAAGTTTGTGATACTTGTAGCTATTCAGAGTGTTACATCTCGGGGTCAAAAAGGCATTCATATGCTTCTTCTCCAAAGGGTTGTGGCTTGGAACTTCTCTTCCCTTGGCGTATGAAGCATAAGCTTTGTGCCATAGAGAGCCCTGTGTTGCCATGCTCCACGAATCTGCACAAGCATCAGCGCAACTCAAAACAGAAGAAGCATCGTTCATCAGCCTACATTCCTTGTACAAACGTGAAAGGAGATATTTGACGGGTAGAGCTTGTTCTTTGATTTGTTCATTGGTACTTCATACAATCTTTATTTTATGTGTATAAAATATATATTATATATAAATGTTATGTGTTATGTGACCTACTTGAAGAATGTGCATTGGTTGTATTTTGTATGCCAACTCTTAGTCAGTTCGTCAATAGAATTTCTACTAAATGTGATATGGTAGTTGCCTTACTTGCAAGCCAGTAACGTGTTCGGGTTTAATTTATTTCATCTGATTGTTTAGAATAGCTGTAAAATGGTGATAATAGTGGCAATGAAGTAGCAGTAATGGTAACGAAGAAGACAATAATGATAAACATGATAACATTGGTGCTGGAAATAGTCATAAGCTTGTTTGTTGCTGTGAGGTGTTATCTGCGCTAGTTTGAACAGATCCACTCACGCGGTCACGCCAAAAAGAAAATTTAAGTCAATGAAAAGTATCCAACACTTCTAACTGCAACCACGAGATTTAAGAATTATTTTACTACCAAAGCTTTCATTTTAATAGTCATAATAAAATATAAACTTCAAATGAAATTATTTGCCTGAAAAGTATAAATAAGAATTGATTAGTTATATATATATATATATAACAGTATTATTATTTTTGTTAAGAAAGGAGAGTTAATTATCCATTTCGTGCTAACCTGACTTTGTCTAGAGGTTAATTTTGATAGGATCGAAATTTAAATTTAAATTGGATGTATTTCGAGTATGAGTTTGAGTTAATTATACTTCTAGTTATCGTAATTTAGTTTACTGTCTTATATTTTTTAAAATATTTGAATTAATAATGGAACTTTTGGACTTTATAGATAATATTTTATATAATATAATTTATTATATTTATACTAATGTTACTTATCTTAAAATACATATTATAAATTTACATTATTGTAATCATAAATAATTTAATTTTATGATTTAATTAACTATATTAAAATAGACATAGAATGTCAGCAAATTGGATTAACTTGATATTATCTCATATATTATCGAATTTCTTTCATATATGATAAGTTTAAATAACTCTCAAAATTTTAGATGGCTGAGACAAAGTTAAATTCGGTCAAGGAATACTCATACTTAGCTTTAAATTTATGTACGAAAATGGGAATGGATCCTCCCAGGGATATTCAGCCTTTTTACTTTTAAAGAAGTGTTTTATTTAATTATAACCAAACACAAATCAACCTTCTACTTATATAAGATTTTTTTTGAAAAAATAAATCACTTTTCTTAAGTTTAATTAAATAAACAAGTTCATAAAATCACTAAGGTGAGCCTAGTGATTGGGTGGAGAGAAGTTGGAGTAATTAGAAACATGAGAACTTAGGTTTAATCCTCATTGCGACCATCTTTATAATATCTTTCCTATCTTTAAAAAAAAAAAAAAAACAAGTTGATCGTTATTACATGCTAAGATCCTAATCTTTCAATAATTTTATCAATATAGTATTGTTTTTTTTGTGAAGTGGAAGTTTAAAAAACTTATTTTCAAAGTTGATAATCCAAGTCTTTTGTCACTCGAGAGGATCTCTTCCCGTGGAAAATAATGCATATACACTACCATGCTAAATGATGTCTACAGAAAGAGAAAAGAGAAAAAAAATTACAGATATATGCGATAAGAACAACACAAAGTTTTAGGACTGGTTTAATAATCTGTCTTGCTTTCTCATTGAATAGTCAGAGGTATATACACAAGAAGAGCTCAAAAGATAAGGACCAGTCCCTGTCAATTCAGCCAAAATATCCTATAAAAAAAAAAATAAAACAGCAGGACAAAAGCACAATAGGACAGTAGAAAAAAAAATTTCCATGATCCTTGGAGCCAATAGGAATGATGCACCAAGTCATGACAGCTAACCTAGACAATCTGTGAAATATGAAATAACAAATTACAAGACAAAGAAATAAAATAAAGAGAAGGGATAAGTATTAATGCAATGTTTGTGATATGTGTTCATATCTATTTACCTTTCAGGTATACAGCTATGTTTATTGATAACACTGCTAGGCAGGAAAGAAATTATCTCAACAGAAATTACTTACCTTTAAAATTTAAAACTTTCATACTTCCATCTTTTTATTATTTAAACTATCTTCTCTATTAATTAAGAAGTGTTTACTGTTTAATCTATATGTTATAGGTTAGAGTTTCTTGAAGATTGAATCGAGTGCAACAACTGTAAAATGTGGAAGCTCTCTTAGTACACGTACTGACGTACAGCCATGTAAGAGAATTTGACCAAAATATAACTCATGCAAAACGGTTACTCCTTATGCCTTCCGAAAACTTTTTTTAACTTTAAGCAAGACTACAACAATAATCCAAGTACAAAATAGGTATAAAAATTAAAAAAAAATGAATTCTTCCTTTCACGCTCATGTCACATGAGGATGAGGTACTGCAGAAAAAAAAATTGCAAAATCCGATCCAACTTATTATAATCTTAACATGTTAGTTAATTAATTATATTGTGAAACACGAGAAAAATCATTTGCTTATTATATTATCTATTTTAAGTCAAGTTCGATAAATTTGTACCAAGTCCCAGATAATGGGAGAAGCATAAAATAAAACTTTACAAACAATTAAGGGAATATAGTTAAAAGGTATAACAAATTCGAAGAATTGAATATTCTTTACTATCTACAATCTTCTATTGACATTGTACTCCTGCCAATGGAGGATAAACTCTGTGATGATGCAATCATACCCGAATTCATGGCTTCTAAGAAACCAAAGCTTGTTGTGCTGCTTTGAGAATCACAGTGTCTCCACTCAGAGGTATGAGGAAGAGGGTCATCAAAGTTTAGGTACCTAGTCAATTGTTTCATAGAGGGTCTATGATCAGCTTTGTGTTGAGTGCACAAGAGACCCAGTTTGAGCACCAACTCCACTTGTTCCTCATCATAAACTGAACCTAGCTTAGGATCAACCACTTCAAGAATCTGACCCAGTTGGGAATTCTCAAGAATCCAATCCACCAACAAAAACTGACCTGATGACTCAACAGGTCTTGTTCCAGCCACCACTTCAAGGAGTAGGACCCCAAAGGCATACACATCAGAGCTTGCAGATGCTTTTCCTGTCCTAGTTAACTCTGGTGCGATATACCCTATGGTGCCAACAACACTTGTTGTATGTGACACTTGTTCATGGCTATAAAGCCTCGCTAGTCCAAAGTCACCCAAACGAGCATTGAAGTCTCCATCTATTAGAATATTGCTAGACTTCACATCTCTATGGATCACCACTTTCTCCCACTCTTCATGAAGATACAACAATCCTGCAGCCACACCTTTGAGAATGTTGAATCTCTTGTCCCAATCCAAAGCAAAATTTTTGTTGAACAAGAGAGAGTCAAGGCTTCCATTTGGAATGTAGTCATACACTAGGAGTAGATCATTCTTGTGCTTGCACCACCCTTGAAGGTTGACCAAATTCTTGTGCCTCAATCTTCCTAAGCTTTCAATCTCAGCTGCAAATTCCCTCATTCCTTGCATTGGACTTCTCATGATCTTTTTAACAGCAACCTCAGATCCTGTACTAGGTAATACACCTTTGTACACAGAACCAAATCCTCCAACTCCTATCAGCTGGCTCTCTGTGAACCCCTTTGTTGCTATGTGAAGATCTCTATAATTGAACCTATGAGGACAATCCATCTCCCAGTCCTCAAGTGTTTCAAATCTCATGTATCTCTTGTATGTCACAAGAAATAAAAGACACAACAAGGTAAATGTCAAAGCAGACAAGATGGAAATTACAACCTTGACCCAAGGAAAAGAGGATGAATCTTTCTCCTTTGGTGGTGGCTTTGGAAGGAGTGGAACATTGAGTGGAGGAGCTACTCCATTCACTGAAAAACTCCACCCTAGAATATAATGAGAGCTTGCTTTCATCTTACCTGTTGATGCTGAGAAACCAAAATACATGTTTTCCCTCATAACATATTTGATGTCAATGAATTCGGATATAAGTGGCTTGCTTGGTTTAGGTTCTTTGAAAGGTGCTATTGTGACATTCAAAATTTCTGTTTCACCATCATATTCAATCCAAGCACAAACAGCATCAGCCTCCTCCATGTTGAACTCTTCCTTTGTGCCTCTTTTAAAGTATGCTGCAGGCTCCATTGTACTTGAGAGCATGCCATTTAGGTTCACGCCAACATGGTTTCCTTTAGTGTCAAATTCACCTTTGTGGCCATTCACTGTATCAAATTCAACCACCAAGATATGATTTGAGGCGTTCATGTCATTAGCAGAGTTGAAAAGACCAAGAAGATGGCCACCTTCAGCTTCTGGGAAATGGGTTTTGGGAGCTATGGTGAAGGCAAGACCAAAGCCACCAAGGCCTGAGCTTGGTGACACAATTGAGAAAACAAAGCATGTGCTAAAGGAAGAAACTTTTGGTTGGGGTGATGAAGCATTTGTTTGCTCAATCATTTTGATGGGTTCGTTGTAGAATGCATGGCCAAAAATATTGTTCACTCTTTCGGTGAGTTTAAGTGTGCCTTGGGGTTCCACAACTTTGGAATCCCCTTCAAGGGTGAGATTGTTTTTTGTGTTATTGAAGCCATGGAATTGGAAGGAAAAAGCAGTGGAAGAAACTAGGAGAATGAGAAAGATGAGGAGACCAAAAAGAGTTTTTGGAGCCATTACGATGCTAAAATGCATGTGGCTATGTGCTATAACATATCTATCCTTATAGGTTCAAAAAACTGTGAGGGATCGATGAAGACCTGAATTAGTCAAGGTCAAGAAAACGTAATGAAAAGTATGTGCGAGGGCCAAATAACATTTAAGTCAGCGTATAAAGACAATCACGGAACGAGTATAGGCTTTATTGTCTTTTGTAGGGTTTGGATCAAAGTGGTTGAGTGCAAATGGGAGTGGTTTGTTGCCTTGATGGAGATGGGATTGAAATTTCAAATGAGAAAGTGTTGAAGCTTTCTGAAGTCTTTTGTTTTTGGAGATTATCATGTGAAGCAAATGAGACCGCAAACGAACTATGTGCAATAATGCTTGGTAAGTGCGCATAACATCTAACCCACGTCCTCTCATAAATAAATAAAAATGACTTTTGAACCACAAAATCTTAGATACTCAAGAGAAAACAAAGAAAAATATAAGTATCATAGTTATAGTTGAAAAAAAAAATAGAGAAAAATAATGAATATTGATTAAGAGATCCCGTTATCTTGTAGAAAAAGAAATTGAAGACATAAAATCGTATCCTGTCTTAATTTAAATATTTTTAATTTAAAAAATGATGTCTACTAAAATATGGTGTATATTTTTAGTAAAAATATGTTAATACATATAAAAAATAATTAAGTTTAAATTTAGCTTCACTCAACAAATCATGTTAGTATGTAAAATAAGTAGTCCGTAAAAAATTCGTCAAGTCTACCATTTACAATTTGGCTCAGTACTACACATTTGATAGTTTTACTTGTTATCATTAAATTTATAATTTAAAAATTTAATCCAAATTATTTGGGATTAATGAGAAAAAATATAAGTTCGAACTTTGATGTCTAATAGATAAAAAAAAATGAAAGAAAAGATACTTAGTATATTTGCTTAATTACTCACGTGTCACGTCATTAGAATAATATATATTTATTATACACTCAAAGTCTAAAAGACTTTTATAATCTTTCATAAGTTTTATCTAAAAATTTTAATTTTAATTTAAAATGTTAAAATTATCTCATATAAAATGTATATAAAACAAAAATAAAAAATTTCTTTTATATATAGGTATAGTTAAATGGGACATTGATGGATGTTGTGGTTCAGCGATAGGGGTTAATTCACGCTTAAGCAAGGTCAAGAGTTCAAATCCTGCTTTGTGTATACAGTCGTTAGTCACTCCTATCGCCCTGGAGAAAAAAAAAAATAAAATGGGACTTGTATAAAACATGGTGGTCCATAGCAGAGTCAGTCTCCTCTCCCTGGAAGAACCTTCATTTTATTGCAGACTTACTCTTTCATCATTCTCGATCGACTTCTACCTTGCATAATATTTCCGGAAAATTTTACTCAATTCACTCGAAGTATGTACAAATGACACATTTTCTCTTTAATTTTTATAACTCATTTATCTCTTTTTTGTTTTTAAAAAATTACTTAACTTCGTTAGGATAAGGTCGTTAGTTAAGGTGAGAGTAAGAAGAAAAAAAAGTCAATTCATATTTATGAATCATATCTTTCATTTATGAATTATGTATAATATTTTGTTTTATTTATAAATTTTTTTATTAGTCTTTAAATTTGAAAATAATTTTTTAAGCTGTTTTGAAATTGTTTTTTGAAGTTGTTATATTTTTTAAATCACAAAAAACATAATACTTAAAATATATTTTGAAAGTTAAAATTTAATAAAAGATCAAGTTTTATTTAATTATTGATACTTATATTATTAATTTATTTTCTCTTAATAGTACATAAATGATATTGTCTTATATAAAAAAATTGTATGTGTCACTAATTAGATGAATAAATAAGAAAAGTTAGTGTATACTTAAAAACTAAAGAAAATGTATGTCATTTAAAAAGATCAGAGAAGGTCATAACAATTTTCCCTCATTTTTTCATAAATCAAATTAAAGATACTATTTTCAATATCTAAATATTTAACTAATCTTATGATACTTTCATATAATTTACTGAAAAATCACTTTATACAAAAAAAAATTATATATATATATATATAAATATATATATATAATTAATGGATATTGATGGAGTAAAGAGACACTCCATAAATACCACATATCATCTTCAAGAAATGTTTTCCCCAGTAAAATGCCAAAGATGTTTAAAAAGGGTGTGTCTGGATTAAACCAGTTTGGCTTGGGTGGAATATGGTGTTTGTGCAAGGAGGTTGCTAAATAAGAAAGCATGCGTTGTCTAGCAAAATTTTGTAGGGTTGCAGGAGAAACAAGATAGTCTGGTGTGATTTCTGGAGGAAATTGTTTTTCTAAGGATTAGGTTGAGAGGATGAGGATGATGGCTCATTCATTAATATCATTGGATAAGTATAATCAGAAGATATTATACTTATATGATGTTGTTAAGGCTTTCTTGGTCTAGAGAGGTAGTCTGGAATAAAATTGTCTTTTCCTTTGATATGTTTGACTGTAAAATCATACCTAGAAAACCATTCTTTTAGCCTGAGTATTTGTGCATTAGGAGGAACTCTGTTTTTGAATTCTAACATTCGTGGAAATGCAGAATTATCCAATTGGATTTCAAACTGATGTCCTCTGAGATGGAAATCAAATTTTTGAATTCCATGTTTGACTGCTAGGGTTTCTTTAAAGATGGTGTGGTAGTGAAGTTCTGAATCTTTAAACTTTCCACTAGCGAATCCACAGAAAAACTGTTGTTCTTGGACTTCTTCAATCAAAATTGCACCCCAATAATGATCACTTGCATCTGTTTGCAAAATTCTTTTCCCTTCGCCTGGGATTTTTAGCGGAGGAAGATTTTGACCAATCTTCTTCAGAGTTTTTGCTGCTTCTGTTTGGGCTGATCCCCATGGAGGGGGATTCTTTTTCAGTAGCTTTGATAATTGTGAAATGTGAGGAGCAATGTTGGGAATAAAATGTATGATATATTGCAGCTTTGGACAAAATCTGTAATCAATAAAGAATGTTCAAAAAGATGATTGATGAACAACCCAAATATAAGCAAGTGTGCAAGAAGGGATATCTGCAAATTAAGTGCAAAGACTCCAGTTGTCATTGCAAAGACAGACCCAACAAGAAAAAGAAGTTTAAATCTTTTAAGAAGAGGGGAAAGAAAAAATTCAAATTTTTCAAGAAAAAAACCCTTTAGAGGAAAAGGATCTAACAGCAGATGTTTTATCTGTGGAAAAAAGGGGCATTTCTCAAAAAATTGTCCTAACAAGAAAAAGGCCATAAAGCTGATAAGAACACTCAAGCTGGAAGATGAAGATGTAGAATCTCTGTTCGATGAACAAGAAAGTCCAGATGAATCAACTGTCTTTGGTATCACACATTCAGAAGGAGATACTGATGGATCCTTAGAACAATTTGACTACACTAATGATGAGTGCAATCATTTTCCCATATTAAAAACAGAAGAGGTATGTTTTCAAAAGGAAAAAGAAATTCCGTTATTACCAAATTTTGAAGCATTCATCTTGCCAACAAAGTATGATGTGCCTATCAAAGTTATTGCATTCATTGAAACTGGTGCATCTAGAACAATGCTCAATCCTACAATACTACCATCAAATTTATGGACAACTCAGGTTCATAAATTCATAGCTGCAGATGGTAAGACTTATTAAACAGATCTAATTACATCCTCCAAAATTGGAATTAAGCTTTTCCCAGACTGCACCATTTGGATGAAAGTAATTGGAGATAGTCTTCATGAAAAGGATATTCTCATTGGCAGAGATCTTTTAATCCAAAGCACCAAGTTAAAAATTCTTGCTCATGGATTAAAATACAGAAGAGAATTCAAGCCTTTCTGCAAGAAATCAAATATGTTCTCATTAGCAGAACTCCCTCTAGGATTTGAAGATATTGGAGATCAGCTCAAAAAATTATGTGCTGACAGTCATGATCTCTTCAAACATCCACAACCTTTGTGGACAAGAAGAGAATTCTTTGTTCAACTTCCTTTCAAGATGAATGAAGATATCAATCCAACCAAAGCTAGCCATCCTGGAATGTCACCAAGTGAATATCAGGCAGTCAAAGAAGAATGTCAACAGTTGTTGGAACAAGGACTCATTGAGCCCACTAACTCAAGCTGGGCATGTGCGACATTTTATGTGAATAAAAGAGTTGAACAAGCCAGAAACAAGAAGAGACTCGTCATTGACTATAGACCTTTGAACATGTTTCTAAAGGATGACAAGTTTCCTCTTCCAAAGATATATTCACTTCATGCCTACATAAAGGATGCATACTACTTCTCAAAATTTGATCTCAAATCCGCATTTTGGCAGATTGGCTTAGATCCTAAAGATCGACCAAAAACAACCTTCTGTATTCCAAATGCTCATTACCAATGGACAGTCCTTCCATTTGGTCTGAAAGTTGCTTCTTCATTGTTTCAGAAGACTATGGTGCGAATATTTGAACCTATCCTGCATAGTGTTTTGATCTACATTGATGACATACTACTATTCTCTCCTAGGGAAGACAGTCATAAAGAACTCCTACAACAGTTTCATCAAATCTGTAATCAGTATGGAGTAACGCTTTCGTCAAAGAAATCTGAAATTGGAGTCAAAGAGGTCAACTTTCTTGGTATGCATTTTGCCTATGGAAAATACGTCCCTCAACCTCACATTGTAGAGAGACTCCCAGAATTTCCAGAAAAAGATATGACCGTCAAAGAAGTTCAGTAGTTTTTAGGGATTATTAATTATGTCAGATACTTTATTCCCAACATTGCTCCTCACATTTCACAATTATCAAAGCTACTGAAAAAGAATCCCCCTCCATGGGGATCAACCAAAACAGAAGCAGTAAAAACTCTGAAGAAGATTGCTCAAAATCTTCCTCCGCTAAAAATCCCAGGCGAAGGGAAAAGAATTTTGCAAACAAATGCAAGTGATCATTATTGGGGTGCAATTTTGATTGAAGAAGTCCAAGAACAACAGTTTTTCTGTGGATTTGCTAGTGGAAAGTTTAAAGATTCAGAACTTCACTACCACACCATCTTTAAAGAAACCCTAGC